TCTGCTGCCAAGCTTGTTTTAATCGGGAAGCTCCACCAAACACTGTACACCATGGGTAACCATTATCGCATCTGACACGTCAGTGTCACAGTGTTTAGCATCACAGCAACCACGGGTTACCTCTGTACAGCAAATGGACAGACTAGTTCTATACCACTTAGAAGGATGACCAAAAACAATTAAAACCAGGCCTGAGTGCCACAGATTAAAATCACCCACCTTTGACTTGGTAGCATAAGGGCGCTCTGGTGGCTTAGTGGTAAAGGAGTTGTGTTGCCAACTAAAAAACATGGTTCTAATCCATCAGCTGCTCCACACGAGAAAGATGGGTAATCTCCACCCATGTTAAAACCTATTGCAGGGTCAACTATAAGTCAGCTCAAATTCAACAACAACAGACATTATATGGAGAACCAAGGATACAGCAATAAACAAAACATTCTGCCTTCATAGAACTTGCATTCAAGTGCAGAATTCAAACCATAAGCAAATAGATAATATGATGTTTGAGATAAGACCAATGATGAAAAACAAAGCAAAGTAAGAGTGTTGGAGCTATTATTTGATTTATGAGAATCATGAAGGGTCTCAGGAAGGAAAAATGGAGCAGAAGCCTGAATGAAGCAAACTAGGTATTACTTGGATCAATTACTCAACTTCACAGATTAGGAAAACACATTTATAACTTTGCTGACTTTACCAAATTGTGCCATTACTGAAGTGATGATTAACTGGTCCTTTCCATTTATTTTATCTTGATTATTTGACCATGTGTAATTGGTCCCATGATTAGGCAGGTTAAGATTCAGACTGCATATAATTTCTCTACTGATCATTAACTAATCCTGGGTTTAGTTATTAACCAAGGTCTACTTGCTTTCTCTTGTTTATCGGACCCTGTTTACATTTCTCCATGAATCTCCCCTGGATTTTATCTCCCCATAATGTTAAACATGGCCTCTCAAACATGACTGCTTACCCACACAGCTACAAGTATGATGCAGCCACAGCATTAATTCCCCTTCCTTTACTCCAGAGTTAAGACTGATTCATGAGGCTAGACAAAAATGAAATCTAATATCTTCAGCCAAAACATTCTGAGGAGCATCTTGATGTCTACAAGAGAGTACTCTGGGAATGAGAAGTAGAGGAAAATAAAGGAACACTAGTTAAACATCAAGAATCAATGCAAGATAGGAGTCCCATAAGACTATAAACAACCCATTTATAGAAAGAGAGTTATGGGTGGTGGTGTTAGGTACTGTTGAGTGGAGTACGGCTCACAGGAACCCTATGAACAACAGACTTGAATCCCATCCTATCCTTTATAATCCTCACCATCTCTGATACACTTGAGCCCAATGCTGCAGTCACTGTGTCAATCCTTCTTGATGGGTGGAGGGTCTTCTCTTTCACTGACCCTCCACCAAAGTTTTTACAACTCTCTTTTGCCTTCTCTCTGCCTTCTATATTCCTATTGTTCCAGGCCAAATCAAAGGTTAACTCAAAGATATATCAATAAATGATGCATCAGGAAAAGACAATAGTTTTCTACAATTCAGGCAACCAGCTGTGAATGCTAAATAAGAAATTAAGTATATGTACATTACTAAGAACGATAACTGAAAAATGGGAATGAAGGACAAGAAAACCCTTCATGAGCCTGTCTGTAAGCAAAAGCTTGCTAATTAAACTACAAAGCCACTGTTTTCAGAGTCAGGCCTATAAGTGTAAAGCAAATTTTGGAAAATACATCTATATATGGATTGAAGCTTAACATCAAGAAAACAAGGATTCTCAACACCAGGCCAAATGCCAGCAACATGACAGATGGAGAAATTACGATTGTTAACAATTTCAGCTTGCTTGGTTCCCAATTAACAATCTTGGCACTTGTTGTTAGTTGCTGTTGAGTTGAGTACAACTCATAGCGACTGTATGAACAAAAGATCTGAACCTTGTTCTATCCTGACACTTCCTGACGCATAAGAGTCAACTACAGTAGTCACTGTGTCAATCCATCTAGTTGAGGATCTTCCTCTCCTTTGCTGACCCTCCAGCCTTCCCAAGCCCTCCTAGCAACATGCCCAAAGTATGTGAGGCAAAGCCTCATCATTCTTGCCTCCAAAGAGCATTCTGGTTGCACACTCCCCAAGACATATACATTTGTTCTCCTGGCTGTCCAGGAGATGTTCAGTGCTCTTCTCCTACACCACAGCTCAAAGGCATCAATTCTGTCATCCTTATTCATTGTCCAGCTCTCAGATGCATAGCAAGTAACCAGAATGACTATAGCTTGCATCAGATGACCTTAGTCCTCAAACTGACATCATTATGCTTCAATAATTTGGAGAGGTCCCTAACTGTAGACTTTTCCAGTTAATCGTGGATCCAAGCAAGATGAAGCTGTTGATAGTTTCAATCTCCTCTCCATCCATCCATCAGGACGCTGCCTATCAGTCCAGTGGTAAAGAATCTTTGTCTTCTTGACATCGAGATGCAATCCACACCAAAGGCTACATTCCTTGATCTTCTTCAACAAGTGCTTCAAGTTTTCCTCACTTTCAGCAAACAAGGTTGTGTCATCTCCATAACACAGGTTATTAATGAGTCTCCCTCCAATCCTGATGCCACAGTCCTCTTTGTAGAATACAGCTTCTTGGATAATTTGCTTAGCATACAGACTGAATAGGTAAGGAGAGAGAATATAACCCTGACATACTCCCTTCCCAATTTTAGACCATGCAGTGCTCCCCTGCTTTGTTCACACAACAGCCTCCTGGTCTAGGTATAGGTATTGTGTATGAGCACAATAAGTGCTCTCGGATTCCCATTCTTGTCAGCCACAACTTGTTACAATCTGCACAGTCAAATGCCTTTGTATAGTCAATAAAGCACAAATAGACATTCTTTTGGTATTTCTTACTTTCAGCCAGGATCCATCTGACATCAGCAATTATATCCCTGGTGCCATGGCCTCTTTTAAAGCCTGCTTCAAATTCTGGCACTAGCAATCAGGAAATCAAAAGACTAATTGCATTAGGAAAATCTGCTGTCAGGGACCTCTCCTGTACTGAAGAGTACTAAAGAGTACTAAGAGTACTAAAGAGCAACAATGTCAGTCTGAGACTAAGGTGCCCCTGATCCAGGCCATGGTTTTTGCAATTACTTACTATGCATCAGACAGTTGGACAAAGACTAAAGATTACAGAAGAAAAATTAATGCCTGTAAGTTGTGGTGCTGGAGAAGAAAACAGAACATACCATGGACTGCCAAGAGAACAAACAGGTCTGTCTGTCTTCGAGGGAATGAAACCAAGTTGCTACTTGGAGGCAAGGATTTTGAGGCTTTATCTCACATACTTTGGCCATGTGTCCAGGAGGGATCAGACCTCAGAGAAGAGCATCATGCTTAGAAGGGTGGAGGGACAGTGCAGAAGAGGAAGACCCCAGATGAGATGGACTGACACAGTAAACTGGGTAATGGGGAAAGGAGTGTCAGAGACAGTGAGATTGGCTCAGGACAGGGCAGGGTTCAGAGCTATGGTCCACAGGGTCGCTATCAGTCGCATGCAATTTGATGGCACATAACAACAACATGCACGGAAACATGATAAAGTTCTGTAGAACTTCCTTTGTTCTTAAAAACAGCTTACTAAGGCGAGCTCTGGTAGCCTAGTGGCAAGAAGCTGCACTGCAGTCCCAGACGTGCATGGTTCAAATCCACCAGATGCTCTGCTGGAGAAGGAGAAACAATCTCCTCCTGTACCACTCAGATCTCATTTGATGGTACACACACACACACAAAAATAATATAATTTAAAAAAAATTTTTTTAAAAAAAACACAGCTTACTAAAACTAAGAAGTACAAGGCAAAATGGTAACACCGTAATGCTTCTACAGACTATCACAGAACTTGGGCTAGTAAAAAGTTAACTGGTTGAGATTTATGTTACCAGGGGTAAATAAAATTGCTACTTTATCTCCATTGTGTATAAATGCAATATAATCTTTCACAAAGGAATAGAATGCAACTAGAATTTGCCTAGAGAGTCAGGTTTTCTCCTCTTTTGTTTCTTATACCTGAGAGATGTGATTAAAATACTGCAAAACTGTCTCCACAGGGCGTTTGAAGAACATCTTCTCCTGAGGTTTTAGCTATGAAAAGAGTAAGAGAAACAATGAACATATCCACAACAGAAAGAAATAAAATACTGTCAAACATGGCAAAGGATGTGCCATTCTTTATAAAATGTCTGGTATTATGTGCCACTGTGCTTAAGAAGATCATTACTGTCTAGAAGATGAAGATTATTTGCCCTAATTTTCCTTTCTTCATGCACACAGTGTTCTTTTGTGGCTTACCTTCTTTTTTTACAATTACTACCCATGTGTTTCTTTTCTTTCTTTTAAAAAAAAATCTCATGAACTCTACTTTGAGTGTACTTCTTACAGGCCAGGAATGGGATGGAATTTCTTGTGGCAAAGAGAGAAACTTACATTATCAGAAAGAGCCAGATGCTTGCAAGTAGCTCCACAAACGGCACATTTTTCTAAGGGGAAAACGGGGAAATACTTGGTTTTCATGAACAAGAAAAGGATCAATTTCCCTTAAATACATTGCTATAGTCAAGTAGGCTAGCAAGAGAAAAAAGGAGGCTTCTAACTGAATTTAAAATAGCACTGTTATAAAATGATACAAGCTTAAGCTCTGTCAGTTAAACCGATATTTCCAAGCATGTTGAAGACAAGTGTTCCTCTTTCTCCTTTTCAACAATTCTCATTTTTTTTCTGTGAGTGGGAAACAATACTACCATCACCAACCTTCCCACCCTCCTCACGCCTAAGCAGAGTTGTTATGTGCCACTGAGTTGACTATGACTCATAGTTACCCTATGAACAATGGATCTGAACTCTGCCCTATCCTGTGCCATTCTCATAATTCCTGATACACTTAACCCCACTTTTATAGTCACTCTATTGATCCATCTTGTTGTGGGCTTTCCTCTCTTTCACTGACCCGCCGCTTTTCCAAGTATGTCCTTTTCCAAGAACTGGCCTCTCCTAACAATATGCCAAAGTATATGAGATGACGCTTCCTTGGATTGATAATGAACACCCTTGGTACCAGCAATCAGGAGACATACTAAGAAAGTCTGCAGTCTGGGACCTCTCTAAATTATTGAGGAGCAATGATGTCAGTTTGAAGACTAAGGTGTACCTGATTGAGGCTATGGTCTTTAAAATCACATCCTATGCATGTGAGAGCAGGACAATGAATAAGGATGACAGAAGAATTATTAATGCCTTTTAACTATGGTACTGGAGAAGAGTACTGAATATCCCATGGACTGCCAAAAGAACAAACAGATATGTCTTGGAGAAAGTGCAGCCAGCGTGTTCCCTGGAGGCAAAGGTGATAAAGCTTCTCATATACTTTGAGAATGTTGCTAGGAGAAGCTATTCATTGGAGAGGGACACATGCTTGAAAAGGTGGAGGGATGAAGAAAGAGAAGACTCTTAACCAGATGGATTGACACAGTGACGGCAGCAATGGACTCAAGTGTGTCAGAGATTGTGAGGATGGCACAGGATAGGATAGGGTTCAGATCTGTTGTTCATAGGGTCGCTACAGGCCGTACTTGACTCAACAGCACCTTATAATAACAACAACAGAATGTTTGAAAAGGAAAATCCCTAATCTTTTTTTTAAATTAAAATTTCATTAGTAGCTTCCTTTTTAACCCTGTTGGAGAAGTTTTTGGATGTGCATAGGGATTTTATTCTTAGAAGGGTCCATTCATCTATTTTATCCTCTCCTGGTTGTGGGTTTTTCAGGATGCTTGGAAGACACTTTATGTTGTGGATAAGGGTTTCTAGAGTTCTTCCAAGCTTTTCTCTAATGAAGTTTATAGTCCTTGGGTTTAGTCCTAGGTCCTTGATCCACTTTGAGTTGGTTTTTGTGCATGGAGTGAGGTGTGGATCTTGCTTGAGTTTTCTACAGATAGTTTTCCAATTTTGCCAACACCATATCTTAAAAAGGCTGTTGTTTCCCCACTTAATTTATTTCATCTCTCACTGTTGGTGGGAGTGTAAAATGGTGCAACCACTATGGAAGGCAGTATGGCACTTTCTCAAAAAGTTGGAAATAGAAATACCATTTGACCCAGCAATTCCACTACTAGGAATATACCCTAAAGAAACCAGAACTGCCACCCAAGCAGATATATGCACATCCATGTTTATTGTGGCTTTGTTCCCAATAGCAAAGAGTTGGAAACAACCTAAGTGTCCATCAACAAACGAATGAATAAAGAAGCTCTTGCATATTCACACAATGGAATACTATGCTACACTGAAAAATAAAGAACTGCATGAAATCTTATACAAAATAGGTGACCCTGGAGGTCATTATGCTGAGTGAAATATCTCAGTCACAAAAGGACAAATACTGCATAGTGCCAAGGTTGTAAAATGGGACTGACATCTGGGTTGGGGGGAACCTAAGAAAAGAGGGGATAAATAATGTATACAACATTGAAACAGATGAGGGAGAGAACTGTTTAAAAAGAATATAGGTTTAGGTATTATTTTCATAAACAGAAAAAGAAATGCATAGTAAAGTGGACTGTGGACTCTGGGATGGGGGGTTGTATAACAATGAAAGAATTTTTTTTTCTTCAAAGAGAAAAACAAACTTGGGGGAAGGGATGGGCAGGGAGGAAAGTGTGCAACAACGAATGAATGGAGGGGAAAATTAAATGGAAAGAATATGCTGTAAAAAACATATACACTGCATTTAAAAATCACTAATAAAAAAATTCAGTTGTAGTGCTGGCTATTTCTTGAGGTAAATTTCATGTCGGGGAAAACATCACACAACACTCACTTCATACAGAAAACCACTTCAAAATGAGCTGTTGTAGCCAAAGTAAACAACTTTGTTGTATTGGCAACTTAAATGAATCATGAAATTCGGACAGAGGGGTAAATGTTTCTCTAGAGGATACCTAACCTGACTATTCTTTCCTTAGAATCACCAGTCCTGGATATTGTTGCTTGAATGAGCTATCAAGTGCAAGTCATTTTCTGTTTGCCAACAAAAACAAGCAGGCCCCCCTCACCCCACAACACACAAAAAATTCCAAAGTTCTCCACCATCTAAACAATAAAGTTGATGTCCTTTAGCCTGGTATACACACAGCCTTCTATCATCTGGCTACGGCCTTTCCATCCAGCCTCATGGCTCACCATTTCTTGAGTCGGAAACGACTCGATGGCACATAACAACAACAACATGTGTTATCTTGAATAAAATTTCATTATATGACAAACCTTTATGTACACTGTTCTCTTCCATTATAATACACTTTCCTCTCTTGGCTACTTGGCAAGCAGCTCTTCTTTATGAAGTCTTCCATAATCAAAGCACCTGACCTGAAGTCCTTAGTCTGAGTTATTTCCTCACCTTGTAAGTATTTTAGCATAAAAATAAAACCTTAAATTAAAGCCCTATTTCTAAGACTGAACAGCTATGAGAACTTGGTAAAATAATTTGTGTTTTCTGAACCAGTTTGCTCTGTTAAAAAAGAGGTCCACTAATATTTAACCTTCTGGGGTGTGGTAAGGGTTACATAAAATTGGTACATGTGAAAATGCTTTTTTACAAAAGTATCATCAGCATAATTTTTAATCAAATTTATTTTATAGGCTAATTACATCCAATTAGAAATGAATGGCTTTTTTAAAGGTAAATTGTAATGATAGATTTATTAGAAAGTTACATCCCTAGAAAGACAGACCTTCCTCCTTGAAAAGAGATAAGGAGAAAAAGGGAAATGAATGGTTCTTAATATCAGCTAAATTTCTCCCTCACACCTATTCACTATTTTTATTCTTTCTCTTTCATCTTATCAGTCTGACTCCTGTGGCTTTCCCTGTTAATAGATTTTAAAACAATAAGTAACTTCTAGCACTCAAATAATCAATATTCCATTTGCCAAATGGTTCTTTACTAAAGGAATCTTCCAATTTCCACAATCAACAGTTTCCTACATAATTCACACAACCATTGATTAGTCTGTTACATGATTTTTATCCTAAGCCTGATAGAAGAAATAATAAACCATTATTTCTACATTAAAAGTGTTTTTGTCTGAATCTTAAAACAGTTACTTACCCAGAGTTAAACAGTTTTTGCAGAAAATATGGCCACAGCTGGTGACAAAGAAGTGAGCCCCTTCTTTTCGGAAACACTGGTTGCAATGAAACCAATCCATTCTGGAGCAAATAAAGAATAAGAATAACTTGATGTGTAATTGTAACCATTCTAAAAATATGCAAAAGCATACACCATTTTATTGGACTTCTCAAAAATTCTTTGCCACCAATCTCCCACCCCAAATTGAAGGCTTGTGGCAGCTCATGTCAAGTAAAGCTACAAATGTCATTTTTCCAACAGTACAAGCTCATTTAGTGCCTCAGTGTCATATTTTGGTTATTCTCACTCTCATATTTCAGACTTTTTCATACTACTATTGCATATTTCACAGATAATAGTAGAGTATGATCATAATCACTCTTTTTTCCCCATTGGGAAACAAAAGAAGTCATGGTACTCACTTTATTGCAATATTCGCTTTATTTTAGGGTTTTTTTTGTGGAACCTAGCCCACAATATCTGAGTTATGCCTGTAACAATGTTTAGTTTCTGGTATCTTACACTGTGTGCCTATAACTGTGCATATTCCATTTGTTTGTAAATATATCTGAATCATTCTAAAGTGAGAATATTACAGAGTGTAAATTTTATATATATATATA